TGATATTCTCTATAAATAATCTTCGTTTTTTTGTATAGATTTAGTTTCGAACAAGAAACTCCATTACAAAATTTTAATAAATTTGCTACAGCATTAATTACCGTCTTTCAAGTATATATTAGATTATTGTTTGTGATAAAAATATTCTTTTGTTCTTATATAGATTTTAACTGGTGAAGATTGGAATGAAATAATGTATAATGGAATTAAATCACAAGGAGGTGCAAATGGTAAAGGAATGATCTACTCACTTTATTTCATTATACTTGTCTTGTTTGGCAATTGTAAGTTCGATTTATGAGTAGAATATTTTTGTATTTAAATTTATATTAAAATAATTAGATACATTATTGAATGTGTTTTTGGCTATTGCTGTTGATAATTTAGCTAATGCACATGAATTAACAAAAGATGAAGAAGAAGAACAAGCAGCAGAAGAAGAAGTAATTGAATTTGTTATTGTCATGATGAAATTATTGGTTTCTTCTTTTTTTCTCTTAGAAACGTGAACGTGAAACAAAAGATGTTGAATTAATGTTTAAATTAGGTTCACCACCGCCACCAACAGATACAACGACAACAACACCGAATTTAAAAATGAAAAAACCAGAACAAGAATCAATGACAGCTAAAAATAATCTTCAACAAACGTAGAGCAATAAAAAACTAAAACTAATTTCATAATTATTTTTTTCTAGAACAAAAAAAGAGTATGTTGATAATGCAGTTAAAACAGCTTTTGATCTTCAAACAACACCACAACAACAGCAATCATTAAGTTCAAGAGCTAATAACGATTTTCTAGATAGACAATTATTTGAAAAAGCTGATTTAGATTATATACCTGGTCTAGATTATGATCTTGGTCCAGTTTATCTTCCGAGTAAGAACTAGTTTTGATTGCAAGGAAAATAAATATTAATTGTTTTTTTCTTCTTTAGCTTCATTGGATAAATTACCAGCACTTGATGATTCAGCTGCAGCTGTAAAAGCTCGTGCTGATGAAGAAGCAAAGAGAAAAGCTGCAGCTGCTGCAGCTGAAGCGGAAGCTAAGAAAAAAGAACAGGCATCACGCACTGTTAAACCTATTCTTCCATATAGTTCACTATTTATTTTCAGCAGTACTAATCCGTATGAAATGAAACTATGTGAATGAAATCATTCTTCTTTTAATTCTTATTTTTAGTATTCGTCGATTTTGTCATTTTATTGTTACTCTTCGTTATTTTGAATTACTTATTATGATTGTCATATGTCTTAGTTCCATATCATTAGCTGCTGAAGATCCTGTAAATGAAAATTCAATGCGTAATATTGTACTTAACTATGTTGATTATGCATTTACAGGCGTATTTACAGTTGAATTATTGCTCAAAGTATGTTAATTCTATATATGAATTATTCATTTTTCTAATTATTTTTTTATTTAGATTGTCGATTTAGGTGTTATATTTCATGAAGGAGCATATTGTCGTGATGTATGGAATTTACTTGATGCACTTGTTGTTATTTGTGCATTAGTTGCTTTTGGTTTTACGTAAGATAATTTTATTTATTTTTGAATATACGAGTGTTTTTCTTTCATCTTGTAGAGAAAATGGAGCTGGAAAAAATTTAAATACAATTAAATCATTACGTGTTCTTCGTGTATTACGTCCATTAAAAACTATTAATCGTGTACCAAAATTAAAAGCCGTATTTGATTGTGTTATTACATCATTATCTAATGTTTTAACTATATTGTAAGATTCCAAAATTTTATAATTAAATAAAAAGTTTTCGTTGAAAATATATCTAGAATTGTTTATATGTTATTTCAATTTATTTTTGCTGTTATTGCTGTACAATTATTTAAAGGAAAATTTTATCGATGTTCTGATTTATCCAAAGTAACACCGGACGAATGCAAGTATGTATCGAAAATATTTTTCTATGGAAGATAATTCCCTGTTTTATTTTCTAGAGGATATTATTTTGATTTTGGTACTGGTAAAAATAAACCTGATCGACGAAGAAGAATATGGGATCCATATGATTTTACATATGATAGTGTACCACAAGCTATGTTAACTTTATTTACTGTACAAACAGGGGAAGGATGGCCAACGTAAGTGATTTTAGTTTTTTAGATAGTTTTTTGTTTTTGAATAAAGATAATGTATTTAGTGTATTACAACATTCAATTGATGCGACTGGTATTAATCGTGGACCTCAACCTGGTCATCGACTTGAAATAGCTGTTTTTTATGTTGTTTATTTTATTGTATTTCCATTTTTCTTTGTTAATATTTTCGTCGCCTTAATTATTATTACATTTCAAGATCAAGGACAAAAAGAATTAGAAGAAGCCGAAATTAATAAAAATCAAGTAAGACAATTTTTGCAGTTTTTTGTTTATGATAAAATAATTTTTTTCTTAGAAATCATGTATTGATTTTGCATTAAATGCCATACCAATACAACGATGTAAACCAAAACAAGAAGGTTCATTACGTTATCGTATTTGGCAATTATGTACTTCATCCTATTTTGAATTTTGTATTATGGTTATGATAGCATTAAATACTTGTGTACTCATGGCTAAAGTAAGATTTTTTGTCTATGTGAAATATGTTTAATTATTTTAACAAGATAATGTGTTTTGATTACTATTTCTATGTTACTTATCTTTACACGACCCATGGTCACACTAGAATATCAGATCATTCTTCTCTCGTCAAACGTATTAGTTTAATTGTGTGCTTAAGAGATGACGTTGAACATATTTTTAAGTTACAGAGATCAACAGATTTAGCCGTAGCGTATATCTATAAAAAATTTTATTGTTCGGAAGCAAAATTCTTACGATAGCATATAGTTAGTTAGTTAGACCCGTTACCGTTTCCGGTGTCGGGTGAGAACAAATACAATACACAAAAAAAACAGAAAGAGTTAACAGTAGTTAACGTTCATGTAATTTTGACTGATGTTCTGTTGATCACCAGTGATACTTGAACCACGATCTATCTCCGAATGCCACCCTCGGGTAACCAGTTTAAACAGCACCCATCATTCATTACCAGATTCAAGTCTCAGTAGTTGTGAACCGAAATGTATTGAGCTGTTTAATAACATTATTTAATATTATTCGTCACGCACCAACTATTAGCATTGGTGCATGCTTTCGCATGATTTGTTATTCCTTGAGGCTTGTACACGATAGCATATAACGGCCTCTTTAATCAATAGAAGACTCGTTGATTTTGATTGCGATAATCTTTTTGTTTTTATAGTATTATCGAAGTCCATCGACGTACAATGATGTATTAACATATGCCAATACAACATTTACTGCTCTATTTACTGTTGAAAGTATTCTTAAAATTATCGCATTCGGCTTAAGAGTATGTTATCAATGATCTTTTCCTCGATAAAATAGATAATTTTATAAAAAAACAAATTTTAGAATTATTTTCGTGATAAATGGAATGCCTTTGATTTTATTACAGTACTTGGTAGTATTGCTGATGTACTTGTTACTGAATTTCGAGTATGTATTTAAATACAATACTATAAATGGTTTTAAATTATCTTTTTCTTTTTAGTTAACTAAAGCGAATGTTGCTCTAACAACTGGCCCACAAAAACATAAAGTATGAATTAATATTTGATGAGAAAACTTCGCATTCCTAATTATAAGCAAATCGAAAAAACGTTATTCATGTATTATTTTTAGAATACATTACTCAATTTGGGTTTTCTCCGTTTATTTCGTGCTGCTCGTTTAATCAAACTCCTTCGTCAAGGTTATACTATTCGAATTTTATTATGGACATTTATGCAGTCATTTAAAGTAAAACTTCCTTATTTTAAATTTATTTTTTCTTCATTATTAATTTAGGCACTGCCATATGTTTGCTTATTAATTGCAATGCTCTTTTTCATTTATGCTATAATTGGCATGCAGGTATGATATGTTTTCTACTTTATTCAAAACCACTAGTTTTCCTAATTCTTATAAAATTGAAATGATATGAGTTAAAAGAAAAATTTCGTTTACGCTACAGATGTTTGGTAATATAAAAGTCGATCATACATCGACCATACACAATCACAATAATTTTCAGAACATTTTTCAAGCTACACTCGTCTTATTCAGGCAAGAGAATAAATTCTCTAGAAAATATTTAATCACCCTTATTTATATATTCTTAAAAAAAATAAATTAGAGATTATTTTTTTATATAATTTATCACTTCTCTTTTTTGTCATGTGATAGTAGTGGTGAAGTTTAGTTTATTTACTTTTGTTAAGTTTTATCTTTTTAATTTTTGCATGTGTTTTTCATTTTTTTCTTTTTATTTATCTATCTTTTGACAAAAAAAGGTTTTTGGAAATGTTCTTCATGAGTCGGCTAGATCCGAGATAAGTCGACACAATAATTTTTCAAATTTTTTCTATGCTTTACTGCTCTTGTTCAGGTATTTGTGATTGTTGTTGCTTATTTTAACGTTATTTGTTTATTCTTACGAATAATATAATTTTTTGAATTTAATAATTATATTTAGATGTGCAACAGGTGAAAGTTGGCAAGCTGTTATGTTAGCATGTAAATCTGGTGCTGACTGTCAATCACCATATAGTAATAGACATTATCAACATACTGGTGTAGCAACAACATCATCTTATCATCTATCAGCACATTCGAAAAGTGGAAATAATCCGAAATGTGGATCAGATTTTGCATATCTTTATTTCTGTTCATTTGTTTTTCTTTCATCATTTCTAGTAAGTCGATTTCATAGATAGAAAATCAATATAAAGATAATTTTCTATAGATGTTAAATTTATTCGTTGCGGTTATTATGGATAATTTTGATTATTTAACTCGAGATTCATCGATATTAGGCGCACATCATTTAGATGAATTTCTTCGAGCTTGGTCAGAATATGATCCAGATGGAACGTATGTATCTTTCGGAGA